AAAATGAGCCTGGTCGCCCTTCCAGGGAAAGACTAGAAGGAACGTAGCGGAAGCCAAATTGTAGGCTAAAACTGACGGATGACACCATCTGACTGGTCTCTGTTGGATTGTCTCGACTACCCAGCCAGTCATTTTTGATGGAAATAGGCGAAAAATCAGCTCAGTAGTTCGCTTGATCATTTTCACTGTCGTAACTCTTCATCATTCGTTTCACACTACGTACCAATATGTTGTGCCGCATGGCAGTTCCGTTACTGTGATTACGACGCCATCTAGGATAAACGTCCATTGTCCGGTGCGATAGAATTGTGAAGTCTGTGTTTCCTCCGGGCGACTGTTGTGACGGAATTTACGAAAGCAATAAATAGGCAAGGATTAGAAAGTGTCAGCCCCAAAATCCGCACTTTTCCATTATGTTCCCATCAGCCCATTATTCATCACGGTCAAAATGATAAAAAAACAAGAGTACATTGTTGATCAAACGTTACTAACTGTACGCATTACTATCTATGCCTTCTCTGTAAGTACCACACAAACTTGAGTCATTGGTTTTGGGTGGGGCTTTCTATGAACACCCCAGCGCTCGTCGCCTTGAGTCGGAAGCTCAGAGTTGATCCCGAAAACCAATCCTTCTGCCGTATAAACAACTGAAAAGTGTCAGAAGTTACTCTTCCCGCTCAACCACTCGTACCTTATCTCCTTTATCCTATTCCCGCTTCACTTTTCTGAAATGACTCCGAAGTGGCTCAGTGATTAGAGCCCGAATTTATTGACTGGAAGATCCATGCTTCAAACCCTGCCCCTGCATCTCGACTTGTTGAGGCTTGGTCAACCCGGTAGTATCCCGGCCCTCGTGCTTCCTTCCGTAGAAGCTAGGCATCGAAGGGGTGTTACAGCTGAATGATATTTTTCTGAAAACCAGACGGTTGTTCGAACTCTTTGGCAGGTACTTTAGCAGGCTGTTCTAGCTAGCGCACCCCCAGTTTTGGAGTTGGAGTGTATAAAACTCGAATGTGTAGGTTTAGCATCAAGAATCCACATGTAAAGAACATTTCAGCTAGGTTTTACCAACTGTCATTAACGAAGTCGAAGAACAAGGGCAAACCGCAGGTGGTAACTTTCTTAGTTCAAGCTTGGTCGACTAAAACGCGGTCAATAGCTGTCCACACGATGTCGGGTTACTAGCAAACGTAAACTGTTCCCACCCAACAAGGCAATTTATTTGAAGAAGACGAAGATACTTTCTCTGACACCTCATTAGAGCTTTTACGATGGACAGGAAATTCTCGGATGGGAAATCCCTGTCCGTGCACGACTCGGACAGAGGTGCTAAGCTCTTCCACATCCGTACGAACCTAACATGGTGTTTCGGCACAAAATATATCCTGTTGTCACCTGGACCACCGTGTCCGAATCAACCGTGGGCACAAACAGGTCATATCACCACTAGCAGAGATGACGCAACGCGTGAAAGTTTGTCGCTGTTGCTCGTTTTAAACAGCTCCTTGATTCCGGTCGACTTGTTATTCATGCTCATTTCCCCCTATCCTTTGCCCAAAGTTCATACACTCACAACCGCTTCAGGGCAACTCTGCATCTGGTCTGCAAGCTAGTGAAAAGTCCTGTCGAGGACCACTCGCTTTACATCTCTCATCTGGGATGCTACGAGAAGACTTTAAAGAACACTAGAAATAAATTCCAGTGGCAATACCGACTACATCCGACAGGGTTTGCAATCCCGAAAAGAATAGCTGTCTAGAATCGATATCATCGACAGAACAATGCCGTGTTTTCCACCTTACCCAAAATACGGTGACAGTGGAGCTGGAATGAGTAGAGAAACTGGAGACGGCTTTTCCTTTAGAGGTGCTCGGAGTATGTTTTCTTCATTCTTGCGGTTCCTCCATTTTGAAAATGTCATCGGGTCTTCACGCCAAAAAATGGCACCCTAATTCACTATCTATCCAAACATCCCACATGGTCGGAGCATTTCTACGAACAGTTCAGGCGGTCAGAATCAGAAGCTCAGTCCAAATGTTGCACTACGCCATATACCCAACTACTCACATTCAGAATCTTCACAATGGAGTGGAAGCCGTCTGAACGGGTCGAATCCCCAGGTTCAGAATTCCTCCCAATTCCTACTCAGAGACGGCACTTAAATCGTTATCCCTTGTCTAACTAGCCTCCTTTGGCGTCATTTTGGAAACCGAAACTTTATCACTTGTCAACTGTCATCCCCGTTTCAAGAAAAACTCGAAGGCCCCGTGTGATACCAGGGCATCAGCCTAAATCCAATAGCTTGCAACTTTTTGACAAACCCAATTATGTGTCGAAATGCTTCAACAAAATCGCCACCACCACTGGTGAAGAACATTCGGGCTTTTGCCCCAATTTGGGTATCAGGCAAATTTATCACAGCCGATAATCTTTCTGGATTTACAGGCTGCTTCCAGGGCAGTCATCCGAAACATCTTATGGAACTGTTTGTTCCAATGGATGTCAGTACAGTACTATCGTAAATGGTCATTTTGGGATCAGAGTGCATCTGGGCAGGTTTCCCTAGCCTTGTTCACCTTAGATAGAGTCCGACTGAGGATATGAACAGAAAGAACACTTAAAGGCTCTTAATCCATGGGAGTGGAATTTGTTCCGAGTAGCGTCCGCACTAACAGTACTTGAATGGTATTTTTCCCCCTTAGTTCACTCGTTTGTTGATTATTTTAAAAGGACGAATAGATCCTTTTGGGATTTACTTTGTACATGCGAAGCAATCGTCGTGCTATGATGCAGTGTCGGGAATACTCTGAAGGTGCCATACTGAGGCTGATTTGTCCAAGACCGTCCACAAGGAGTGTCTTATCTTCCCGTTTGGACACATTTGTTGAAGGTACCTGCAGAATAAGGAAAGTACATCATGCGTTCTCCGCTCTCCGTTAGTTGTGGAGTCGGATGGATATGAGGTCTCTGAACAAAGGCAGCGTTTACCAGGTTTATGTGCCTTCCATCCTTTATTTGCGAGGTTAAATTGATTCTCCTGCTTGTCTTCAGTAACCCGCTGACGGACCCAATTCCAGAACTTGAACGTCTCTTGTCGTTAAACACGGCCTCTCCGCCGAATGCCAACCCTCCCGGTGATTTCGCTGTTCCTGGTTCTAAGCCCGTCACCACCACCGTACCCAGCAGTGGGAGCCCGAATTCTACGGACAGACTGAAGTCAGTCGCAGTCAAAATCTTTTCTCCGCATGAATCTCGCGCGTTTTCCAACGAACTGGCAGTTTTTCGAGGATTGCAACAATCTCCGATAGGTTCGGACCGTACCTCTGCCTCACCAGCTGGGAACTTGTATCCAAGCAGCCATCCGAACGTGGTTAGTCTGCTTGGGGCGGATATTGTGAGTTTCACTTTACTTAACACCTCATGGCTTGAAGAGTATTTTTTTTAGATGTCTGTAGATTAGAAACGATGGAATCGCTCAATCTGCATACTACATTTCCACCTGTTCTCCTAAAGTCTACGAAATTATCCCACACACACGAATCATATGCAATATATTAGATTGCCCTCAGGCAAATGCCTTTGAGAATTCCAAACTGGTTTACGCAAAGGTGTAACCATCGTCTCTGAGAGTGGAATTTCCTAGCTCGATTTAGCGGTTAGTCAGACATAAATTGTGACTTCTGATGATCCTGTACACAACGGATGCGTTTAGTGCTCCATTTGTTTCTTGGTACGACTTGACTTTCCGACAGGCTATCAACTTTCAGCGATCGGACTGCTTTACTTTTAGCGCAGACATTTTCCAACCCGTCCTTCCTCAAAGGAAAACAGCATCGCTGCCTCTGTAAATATTACAGTACTGATGATCTAGGCTAAACTATTTACTGCTTGTACACTCTTGTTGCAAAGGACAGTACAATTTTGCTCCCAAAGAGTTATAATGTGAATACATGCAATACGGTGGCTCTCTGTTCTACGTCTGGCTATTCTTCATCCTCCTAAGAATGGTCGAAACATAGTTACAGCCATTGGAGCCCGCGTATTTATTGCAGCAATCAAGCCCCATCACCGCCAGAAGGTTGCGGATTCTTTCGTGATGCTTTTACTCTGTCACTTTGAGTTCTTTCTTCATGATCGGTTATCAGCTGACTAGTCGATAATTCTGTAAGTTTATTTCACGTACTGCATTGATTTTCTCGCAGGTTACTGATACTGCTTTGAAATCCTCCCTCACAACCCCAATGATCCGCGAATACCGATTGGTTCTGGAATTTGCCAATGCCGGTTCACTGCGCCACCTTTTGTCCTCCGGCGAGTGGATCACGCTGCAACAGTGCATGAAACTAAGTCGAGATATCACGAGTGGCTTAGCGTTTCTACATGGAGATTTGACAGACAACACAGCAGTTGGTGCTAAGCCAGCAATTGCACACCGCGATTTTAAACCTGAGAACATTTTACTGCGTTCTGATGGGAGCGCTTGTCTCTCAGACTTTGGGCAGGCAGCGTTACTGGATCGTGGCTCTACAACCCCCCTTGATTTTATGTCCGCATCGGATACAAAATCTCCAGCTAGTGAACTAGGAACCCCTCCCACACTGGATGCGATGCCCAAGGTAGGTTAACTATTCACTTTCTCCCCGGATTCTATTTTATCCTCAGGATGGAGGGACTTAGCAGACCATGTGGGGCGGTTCGCTATGATCCATTCATTCCCACCTGTTGGTTTGCTCTCGTTTGGAGGGCCTATCGCTCAAGTGGTTAGAGTGCGAATTTACCGACCGGAAGGTCCGTGGTTAGAATCCGACCTCTGCCTCTCGACTTCCCCTGTCTAGGCTTGGGCAACCTGACAGTTTCTCAGCCCTCGTGCATCCTTCGGGTGGCATGGCAGCTAGGCACCGGAAGGGTGCTACAGCTGAACAATTATTATTATTAAATCACTTATTTCCTTCGTTGTCACGAAATCAGCTAATGATTTGAGAAAACGTTGTGAAGGAGCTTGGCAACTCGCACTCCCATTTCAACGCGATTTCTAATAAAGAATTGGGCAATGTACGTGATGTGCAGAATATCCAACCAGATTGGAATACTACCACCTAACGCGTGAGCCAGTTTCCTGTGTCATTTCCCATTTAGGGTGAAACGACCAAACATTCCGCTTATATCAGCTCCGTACTAGACTTGAGCTACCTGACAGTATCCCAGCCCTCGTGCCTCATTCGCGTGGCATGGCAGCTAGGCACCGAAAGGGTGCTACAGCTGGACGATACTATTTGACAATGGGTTCCTGATCAACTTCCTGGTCCACGCAAGTGGGTTTTGGTGTACTCCGCCGTTTCATTCTTTTCATAAATGTTTGGATGATCTTCTTGGAGCATTCGTCGTCACGTGCTGATGGCTTGTTCCAATTCCTCAATGTCAGATCAATTTTTCGAGCCCCCGATTACCTTTGAATTGCTTTTAACGAGAATTTAACTTGGGGATAATTGTGATACAGTACGATTGATTGGGATGGCGTAATACTACAACGCCCTACGAGAAGTGACCAGAAGTCGAAAGTCAGGCCAGGATAAACAGTTATTTTTTGGTCATCAGATTCCATAGGACGGATATACTCACATTACGGCAACCTCCTTATGACCCAATAGTACTGAATGTAGCAGACAAACTTAGTTACAATTTGTTGAAATATTGGTAGCTCGGGTGTAGCAGACAAGTTACAATTTGTTGAAATATTGGTAGCTCGGGTGAGTTTATTAGTTGTTGATCAGTGCGCACTGATGATGTCTCCTCGTATCGTATCGAAACGATTGCCAAGCTCGGCGAGCAGATCAGCAGCCACCTGATCAACAACCAATTAATGCATATTCCAATAGATAGGACTGTCAGGGAGAAAACGATGGTATAGAGTAGTGCTCGGGAACCTAGTTGTTTTTTCACCTAACTCCTTCTTCCACAAAGTCTGACACATCGACAAATCATTCGATGGGAGACCATTTGAAGTTCTTTTTTCGTACGCTTGATTACTTGAGGGGCTTTTGAATTCTT